ATAAACCCTAGGCAAAGCTCTATCAAGACTCAATCACGGAATCACACATATGATTATTAAAGGAGCCAATAAATAAGCTATAGCAAGGAAAGTAGGTTTTGTAAGACATGGGTTATTTCTTAGCCTTAAATTAATCCTCCCTTGACTATTAAGGTTCTTTACCAAGACTCTCCTCCGATTGGTTTCCCTAGGCTTGGTGGTGGGGAATTTCTTCTGCTAAGCTCCCTGGGCAAATCGTGTATTTTAGTATTATGAGGGGGGAAGAGGGTTCTAAGTGCTTTCTAATCCTCTATATATATTTATTCAGAAGTCCTATTTGGAATCTGAATGGCAAGGCCCGCTTTCTTTATTCCCACCGAGTTTCAGGTAAGGATCCATGATCCATTATGGACCATATTAATAAATTAAGAAAATCTTAATTAGATTAAATCTTTTTTTAATTATTGATAGCGAAATTAACTTAATTAATTAATTCGGACTTGAAGAGCGTAACACGGAGTGTTACGATTCTAGCCACATATAAACTTAACACAATTGACAAGATATATGTGATACTCAAAAGAAAAGACATGATGATAGCTCTTATCGGAAAGAAAGACAAATGGTCAAAAGTTAATTTCCATTCTATGGGTAAAGAGGAGAGTACAAGTTTGACTCTCATCACAAGTATATAACACTGGTTCTTGGATCCCTACAATTATTATACCATAGATCGGGTTCACATTGTAAGATAAATTAGTAACATAAGATGCATTTTTATTATATTAAATATTTTTTTAATACATTAAAAAAATTTGGAAAAAATTATAGTTTTGGTCTCTCAATTGTTTTGCAATTGTTAATTTGGTCAAATTGACCATCCAATTGTTTTAAATTGCGTCAATTAAATCTCATATCCACTATTTTGGTAACTAACAGCTGACTGGTGGAATAGTGGCTAGGGAACTTAATTGATAAAATTTAAAACAATTAGAGTGTCAATTCGACTAAATTAAAAATTAAAGACTAAATTGACAATTGCAAAAGAAGTGAGGGATCAAAACAATGATTTTTCCTTTATTTTTTTAAAAATATATTATTTGAGTATTAAATATTTATTATTTGGTATACTGCTAAATATTGTACATTCAATACATAAATAATGTGTATTTAATATATTAAAAATATATATTTATTCATTCTTCCCTTTTTCAATCGTTATGCTATGGACCCGTGTCCAGCATGCATGCTAGACACGGGTAATAGTGCCGTTACTGGCACTGTTATCTTCCACTTTTTTTTTTTTTAATTTCAGATCGCTTCGTTATAGGAGTATATGTTCATAATTTTATTACTATATGTTTATAATTGTAAGTTCATAATGTTAGAGCTCTATGTTCATAATTTCATAACTGTACATTTATACTTCCATAGCTGTACATTCATAATTCCGTAAATGTACATTCATAATTCAATAACTGTAACTTCATAATTTTCGAAGCTCTATGTTCACAATTTTAGAGCTCTATGTTCATAATTTTATCACTATATGTTCATATTGTAAGTTCATAATTTCAGAGCTCTGTGTTCATAATTCCATAACTGTACATTCATAATTGCATAACTGTACATTCATAATTCCGTAACTGTACATTCATAATTCATTAACTGTAAAATCATAATTTTCGAAGCTCCATGTTCATAATTTTATCACTATATGTTCATAATTGTAAGTTCATAATGTCAGAGCTCTGTGTTCATAATTTTATAACTTACATTCATAATTCTATAACTGTACATTCATAATTCCATAACTGTAGATTCATAATGGCACAAACGAATAACGTCGTTAACGCCATTAACGGCTCAAAAAAAAAAAAAAAAAAAAAAAAAAAAAAAAAAAAAAAAAACAACCTGAAATGACACGTTTTTCCTGAAAACGACGTCGTTTTGGACTCGTGTCCCCATAGCATAATTTGCGTCCCTTTTTTAACCCCAAGGGCCCAATATATATTTATTCATGGTCTACCAGTGGTATCCCCATTACCCAAATAATCCCTTGTGTTTGGTATTCATTGAGGCCCCATTTGAGAGCGTTGGAAGTTTTAAATAGCTGTTTTGATGATGTCCTCCTTCCTAATTTAATATGCACCTTCCTTTTTCTATTCAATCCAAAATAGTTTAGCAGAATCGTACCGTTTGGAAGTTTTTGGAGTTGTCCCCTATTGATGGCTTGCTTTTAGAGGTTTCGCACGAGTTCTACTACATCTACCTTTTATATCTATTTTCTCACTTTTACTCCTTAACGGCCTAACGTAGCAATAGATGATTAGTTATTTTCGTCTTGTAGGTCTCAAAGAAAATGTCTACATCAACTGTGAGACAAATAAAAGTTGAGAGTCGAATTTAAGAGTAGAATTATAGAAATAATATTTTTCGTTTCGCACTTCGCATTAAGAAATTTTCTTTTCTTTTCTAATTTTTTTAGAATTTAAAATTTAAGAATTATTTTCATATTTGGTAAATTCTTCTGTATAGTAGACTCTACGGGCGTATATCCCTATCAAGTAGCCCGCCTAGCTCGTGAGCTCGACGACCATCGGAGAGGAGGGGTTCGAGTCACGCCTTGCCTAAGGGCGCCCCAAGACCAGGGTCGTGTGCGTCGCGGCGCACGCGGGCATCAACCGTCCTTTGGGTTAAGGAGACACGCATCGCTCAGCGGGAGATCTCGGGATCTAAGCGCGGATTTTTGGGAGCCGAAACGCTTTCCCGCCGTAAACGTGTCCCTATAAATAGGGCCAGCATTGGGGTCCCATTACGCTTTCAACCCCTTTGGATAGAGATCGAACGCTCTCTCGAGCGACAACCATAATCCTTCTGAGATCTCTTCAAATACTGCAAATCGGTATGTATTCTTCTACTATGCCTTACCTTGTTTGTAGAGTAGTTTTAGTCTTTAAGGGCCCGGTGGCCTTTAGCCCGAGGGGCCCATTTCGGGCGCAATCGTTGAAAACCTCATCCCCTCGTCTTTTAGGGGCGGGACCATGTCAAGCTCCGACAGTCAAAACCGGCTGATTCAAGATTATGGGGGCAGCGATGAGAACGAGTCCGAACGTACGATGCCCAAGGACTCGTCGCCTGAGCAGTCAAGGACCACACAGGGTGAGGGTGCCCGGACGCAGCAGGGCAGCGGTAACAACGACCGGACGTCTACACGGTCGGGCGAAGGCAATGTGTCGGCCCAAGGTGAGGCGGCGGACGAGGGCGCCCGAGTACAGCGAAGTGACAGCGGTCGTGACCAGGCGTCCGTCCAATCGGGCGGAAGTGACGAAGACGACAAGGGCGACGAAAACAGCCCCGGGTGGGGCGGACGCGGCCGGGCCTTCAGGTCGCGAGCCTAAGGCGTACGACAACCAGGGTCGTGGACTGCCTCCCCACGTCATGGTGACCGCTCTCGACCCCACCCTTTCTCCCACATCGGCGGCTCGTCTAGCTGAGGACCTGCTGAACAAAAAGAAGATCTTCCTTAATAACTCGTCAGCCGAGCAACACCGGAGCCTCTTGACGAAGAGGGAAGTAGAGGAGACCGCCACACTCTTGACCGATCGGGTAAAATTTAGTACACGCAAGTCTTTGGAAACCGTAAAGGATCGCACCAAGGGCTATGGCTCGGGATGCACCTGGACTCCCTGAATACCCCTCTAACCTTCCCGTTCAGCCCATTCTTACTTGCCTTTCTCGGCTACTACGGTGTTCTTCAACAAACCACTAGAGTTGGAAATTACCAAAAAGTGCTCGATTGATCGAGAAACTATACGGTAAACCAATCGGGCGTAATCCGCAGCAAGCTAATCGGGAAGAATTGCAAGGAATTTTTTTTTACTTCTAGAACCCGACGACCCTCGCAAATTCAAGGAGTAGGGGAGTCGTGATGGGTAAATACGCACAAGGACTATTCCATGAGGTCACCTAGCCAGTCCTTTATAACCACTGGCCCAACGGAACTAGATCACTTGTGACCAATTGTACCGCTCGTATTGACATGCCTCGTGATAGGTGAAGATGTTCTCGGATCACCCCAACGAAGCACCACCCGACCGGTCCGCCGTAAGTCAACTGGTCGGTCTACGGGGCAACATACTCTGCAAGATGGAAAGTTTAGCTTACATTACAAGTAAAGGAAGCCACTTACACTTGCAGGGGCGGCGACGGGCAACTTGCAGGAATAACAGCTTTGTCACCTCGAACAGTCAACCTACATGTAGCTGGAAGCGACCTTTTGACCAAGCCAACAAGAACGCACCACATTAGGCCACTTGCATCTGGAGCAGCCAACAAGAATGCGCCACATCAGGCCACTTGCATCTGGAGCATTAAATGCGTAGACCGACCTATTTAGTATAAATAGAGGGGTCTCCCTCTCACTTGTCATATTCAGTAATATGTAACATCACACCACTTGTGATTTACTCTACATTGCAATCTACTTCACTTGTAATCAATCGTTACTTGTAATACATCGTAGTCTCAGACCGCTCAGTCGTCACCCAGTAGATCGACCGTACAACGTAGTCTCAGACCGCTCAATCGTCACCCAGTAGATCGACCGACCAACCTAATCGCCACAACGTACGTATTCATAACAGGTGGACCATTTACGTTATCACTTAGTATTTATCTTAAAAATTAAAATTAATCCAATTGAACCTTAATATAATCGTATTTGAAATGAGACTTTCCCAAGTCCTATTTGAAATTAGACTTTCCAAAGAGTACTGCATACACATAGTTCAACTCATGCTTCTTTTCATTCTTATTCTTAGAAATAAAAAGCTGCTATGACAGGCGCACCATAAAATACTAAAGAGCTTACCAGAACAAGTATGCTTACAACATGATTCAATCTCCACTGAAAATGTAGTGCAGATATGTTGATGTGATTAGACAACATAAATGTACAATCTCTATGGGATATGCAGTATAAATTAGTAGATATATACAGTTAATGAACCACATAAAGATAAGCAATCTCATCATGTGGTGCACAATGGTTAATTTTTCATTCACCAAAGAGATCAGCACAGAAATCTGAAATTGGAGTGCCATTAAAAACAAATTTTGGGTTAGGTGGCTCATCAAATTCAACACCACAAGTCCCAGCAAGCACACTGAATCCTGATTTCATGATGGGGAGAAAACCAACAATGCAACTAAAAAGTATATCTTTAGTCAGCCATGTATGAATGAATGCATGAGGGAGGAACTAGAAGGGTTTCTTTCAGGTGTTACCCTTTTCCTTTTTGTATTTTCCCCCCTCTTTTTAAATGTTGGGGGGTGACAAATGAATTAAAAAGGAATCAAATCAAGTTCCCTGCATTGTTTCTATGCAAGGAATCAGTATTTCTTCAGCTCTTCTCATCAAAATTTCCCAGAGGTTAGGGAGTTTGACCTTGAAAATTCAGGTTTTGCATTGGACTCCAGCCGAGAATAAGCCATCACCATCCGATACTGCCAAGAAACAGAAAGAAAAGCTTTAGTCTTTCACCATATGTGGTCGTGCCCAAAGCTAACGATTTCACAGGACTCGGCTTTGATAAGCACTCCTCTGTTACGCGCCAACAGTGATTTCAGTTTTATCCAGTGCAGGGGTGCATTATCGCAAAATTCTCTGCTCCTGCATGTCTTGTGCTAGACCTCTTGTTTTTCACTTGCCTTGTAGTAAAGCATTTTCTGCACATAGAACATCATATATCCCTGTGCGGCTCTCACTATACTTTCACTTACCTGCGTAATCCATGCATCATCACATTTGTACCATTGATTACTTAACCTCAAATAAGTCACATAATGGCCAGCATCAAGTTTACCATTATGTGTGATGACAGCAAACAATTCAAACTCTGATGACAATTCACTGGAAGCATCTTCTTCGTCCCCGTCAAAGGAGAAAAGTCTGTTTCCAAACCGGTTCCTTAATATAGAGGAAGAGAGATAAGGTGCCATGTCCAAGGAAAAAGGAAACTGCAGATAGCGGTCAATCTTTCTGGACATTTTCCGAATATGGGAGTGCTCAAATCTTTTGATATGGAAACAGGATACCAAGGGCAGTTTTCTTATGGACATCTGTTTAAGAGACTCCTGACTAACTTGACACTGTTGGCAGAAAAATTTTTGGTCAGAACCTAATTTCTCAGGTCTTGTAAAACGGTCTAAACATCCCACCAATGTAGAAATTCCACTATTGCTAGAATTCACTAAGTCTGCTTGTCTATAGTTTGAGTGATGAGATTTTGTGGACGTCATCTTCCCAGAAGTCCCTTGGTTTGGTTCCAAATCCAATGAGATGTCAACACATGGATCATATGTTGTAGAAGTGAAGCCACAAGCTGTACACATGACATCAGACCGTAAGATTCCAGAGAACACTTTGTGAGCAATACAACAGTTTCCACTGCCTGCATTAGAGAATAACTCCAATTATATTTGACATAACAATAAAAATGTTAATGTTTGCAGCATATATGTATTGAAACATTTTTTAAAATTGAAAACCGGAATTTATAATCATGTTTTAATGATTCAAAACAAATATGCATGACAAATTTAAACCAAACAAGAAACTTTTGGGCAAAAATATTGCTCCTAAGACACATAATAGGAAGACATTATTTTAAGCTCATTCAGTATGTAACAAGGCAATACCTAACATGGTATAGCAATGTATTATTTTTGTTATTTACTCAATTAGACAATAGAAAAATAAGGGTAACCTCATCTCAACTGTATGTACTACCATACTGGCAAGAGAGAATTGAAGTGACACATTTACCTACAATGAAGAGTTTGCAGCTCAAAATGATAACCTATTAACATAAGGTAGAGCTACAAAGAGATTCCCAAAAGATTTAACAATTCTCCTGAAGAACCTGAAGGTAACCAAAGTCTTTAATTTTCCAAAAATGCTATGCCATAAAGGAATTACAAAAGGATATAGCCACCAATCAACCTAGCAGAGGCTGGAAACTTCAAACTCTCTTCAACCTTTGAGATCAGCTGTCTCGAAGTGAAGACCCTAAAAATGGTAGAACTCGAAATAAGCAGAGGTGATGTCGCACGAGAAAGATCCTAGGCCTAATTACTAACCAATTAGACAAAAAAATTGAGACTTACTGAAGAAGATGGAAGCTTGCAGTTTGAGAAATAGTCCTAAATCTGTTATCTGTGAACACTTGCCAATTCATCAATGCCTAGGTCAAAGGAGGGACCTAAACTCACAGCCTGCAGTTAAATGCGCTAATCAATTGACAACAAGATCCAGTTGCCATGATTCAGTGAGATGCTAGTATACAATGACAAACAAACAGATCCTAAACTATGCAGGACATGTCGGTCAGGGCTCCCAGCCCTTCCACTACAACCAGACATAAAGCATATGGAGTATTTTAATTCTATGCTTAACAAGACAAATCAATAATTATCTAAGAATCTTAAGCGTCTAATTCTATCATCATCCTATTCCAAGTTTGGGGTTAAGACTCCGTCACTATGTGCTACAGCATAGTAAAATTTATTTTTCTGATTCTATATTCCCATTAGAAATAGTTGCATAACAGCAATGGTAAGTGATTTCAATTACCATGTTTTGTTTTGCAACTTTCTTCCAAAGTAGTTGGATAATCAACACAACACATTAAAGAACCATATTTCACTTCAATGCCATAACAAATATTCTTACAAAACAGATCATTCATGTGACACATATAAACACAGATAGTCAGATACACAACATTAACTAATTTTATTTTCTCAAGAAAAAAGAACTTAATACTATGAGTCCTAAATTCAAGAGTTTAGCACCTGGATGATTTAACTAACAAAGCATCTGCTTTTCCAGCAAAAATGAAAGATGGTAAATTTGATGGTTAAATGACTTAAATCCCATGATCTCCATATAGCATAAATCTACACAGAATTGAGAAACCTCTTTACAGAAAGATTAGCTCTTTTTAGGCCTACAATTACTAAGGCACTAAAAGCACTTCAAAGTTCAAACTATACATGGAAAAAGACATTAGGTGTAAGAACTACATTATGGTTTGAACAATCACCAAACTACCTGAATTCTGAGGCTTGCACTTGTCATTCTGCAACCTCTCATGAAGTGCATCAAGCATGGAAATGAAAAATTCATGGGCATCCTGCTGTTCATAACTTGCAAGGTTATTTGCATGCTGCCACCAGCTGTAATAAAAATAAAAATAAAACGTAAAGCCACCAAAAACACAATTTGCGTGAAGCTAATCAAAACCTTGCAAAGACCAATTTCTTAAAATTTCAAATTTAAAATACAGAGAGAGAGAGACAACTTCTTTGTCACTTCAGAGACCCAAAAAAAAAAAAAAAAAATCACATGCAAACTAAGCAATATCTCAGGGAGGACAGTCCAAAAAACATTTAAAACTAAATATTTTCACTGTGACACAGTAAAGATGTGATAGTTACATCACAACTGAAAAGTTAGTATTGCCCTAACTCGATTTAAGTTATGATCAGAATGGATACCCTATTATACACCTTTCACCAAAAGCTACAAAAAAATGCAGATCACTGGATCTATTGTTCATAGCCACTTCATAAACTCCACAATGAACACAAAAGACAGCCCAAATCAATGCAGACCTGTACAAGAACTTTGCAGGGCTATATGGAGCTTGCTCCCCAGAAAAAACAGCAGAGAACATCGCATCCAAATCACAAGCTAAACACAGTTTCACATTTTTATTACTATCTTCTTTCGATCTTGTGGTGATACTCCTATTTTTCTGCTGGCAAAAATATCTGTTATGCTTATCACTCAGAAAATAGTTCCTCAGTGGTGGTGTGTGCATCAATGCTTGCAATACAGAGTTCATAAAGCACGTATTGCCTAGATTGTTCAGGCCTCTCAATCCCCAGGGACGGTCTGGTGACTCGGATTCGTTTCCGTTTCCGGTTTGAGTCGATAACGGCATCGAGTTTTCTACAATCAGGACTTGCTCTTTCAGATCGGGCGACCAGGGTTTGTAATCAACGCGCCGCCGCTTTCTTAAGCTCTCCTGTGGCGGCGGCGGCTGCTGGTGGGTGGATCCGATCATGGCGGCCTCCGTTTGCGCTAGGACCACAGCCGCGTCAAAATCCAAATCATACACCTGGTCCCGGCACGAGCAGCAGAAGAGCTCAGCGCGATCGACGTCAACAGAGACGTGGTGAGACGACTCCGCCGCGTGCGGCGGCGCGTGCAGATGGCAGAACACAGCGGCGCAAGTGACGCAAGCGTAGAGCCGCGGCCCAGCCAGCCCGCACGCTCCGCATCTGACGACCTCATTCGTCGGCTCGCGGCGGATGGACGCCCTCCCCAGAGGCCTCACCCTCAGACACGCCCGTAGATTCTGGAACGGGTTGGGCACAAATTTCGATCGGAGCATAGGCAAATGCGGACACTTAGCATTGCTAGGGCTGCAAACCGCCAACGACTTGATTCCCGTCTGATTGCCGAACCGATGGGCATCTGGGTCCGGATTCCCGGATTGGGTCCGATCCAGAATGGATCGCGGGATTTGATAGCTATGATTTCCCGAGCTAGCTGATGATGACATTGATGTGGCTGGGAATGCGAAACCCAGATCAAGTTTATCCACCCAACTAGGTATCAGATTGACTACAAAAAGATCGAATCAAATGAATGGGAACACGAATAGCAACTTGATGGATTGATGGATGAATGGATCAAAGAGAGATATTTATGGCAAACGGCTGAGTGAAACACTGAAACTCTGAAAGAATTACGATACAGAAACAGAGAAGCAAAACTAGAAAGGGAAAGAGGGTACTGGATTTTGGATTTAATATTTATTGCTAATTACACATAATTTATATCATAAATAATATTTATATTTAGGAACTAATTAAATTCCCCGTGTGAGCATGATACAATTTTATTGTGTAACTCTTCTCATTGTTCTGTTTTTTTTTAATAGTCTCACACGAATAGCTCAATTGATTTCTGAGTGACAGATTGTAAGCAAGAACGTAAAATTAAACTCTACTAGTCACAGATAGGAGTTTCACCCTCTTGGGAGTGACTTCTTATGGGCATTAGACACTAATACTCCCCCACCTAATAGATCGCAATGTGAGAGTTTCACCCTCTTGTAAGGGTGGCTCGGGACATTAGGCACTAGTCTTCTCACCTAATGAGTCATTGTGCCACTGTAATTTATTCATCCACAATCTTGTCAAGTTGGAGTGTAGAGGTCCCTGGGATGAGGGATTTCGCCTTTTGTTGGCAAGACTTTCTCCATAATTTTATTATGAAGTAAAATTTATCCATATTATATCACAATTTATTGTATTAACTATTATTTTAATAAGATATAAATGGTTCAAAAATTAAACTTATAAATCTTAGTGTTAGTGTAAATACAAAGAATACGGCCCTAACTTGAAGCCATATGCTGAGTTTAAACGTGCATGGTGGATTGGAAAGTAATGTAAAGGTAGACGTTGACAAGGATTTCAAAGGTCCTTACTACCCGATCAATAACTGTCTAACACATTCCTTTGAAGATCACTTCTAAGTTTAGAACCTCAACTTTAGATGATTACAGAGGTATGCTCGATTGAGATGACACTTCCATGGTTGTTCACTATACTCTATTAAGGAAAGTCTGTGATTCCTTTGGACTCCTTCATATGATAAATCCTCTAATTCTACAATATGATCCCAACCATGGTTATGCCTAATGATCATAGGTTGATCACTTTGTTCTTTGTTCTTGATAGGTCATGCCCGGTTAAACAAGCCACCATAGATAGATGTGTTTCAATAGTAGTGAGATATAGGGGTTCGTCAAGATTTAAAGCCAACTTCACATAAAGATCTAAGATCTTATGCCTATTTCCATTAAAAAAAATAGAAGAAGAAATACTTCTTCGAGAACTTAGAATGAGGTTAGCTTTGTCACCTAATGGCACACCCAAGGTTACGAAGGTTTCCAATCCTCAATGGTCTGCTAACTTAGATTTGGAGGTTGTAGCATTGCAGTCTTTGAAGCTGGATGGCGTAGATGGCATCATTCCTAAGGTTTTATATGATATAAACTTGGGTGATGACTAACCTGGTTTTCCTGGAAAATCATAACTCTTTTCAATGAGAAAGGTCTAGTAGTTAATGAGTTGGTAGCCTTGAAGAATGATAGACCTATTATCTTAAAGCGCGTTCGTACTGAGTGTTATGGTAGTATCATTTCTAGTTGAGATGATCTTCAATTTCTCAACAAATGAAGATGCCCTAAAGATCTTCTTTGATGCGCTTGGGGCCAATTCTTCCATTAATGAAAAGTTTCAAGAGGACAAGGTTAAGGTCACCTTTCAGGGCATGAAAATGATGCAAAAGACAATTTACGAGCAAATGGAAATTGCATGCCCTAAATTCAAGATTGAAGATTGGGGGCTTCTAGAAGAGCTTGGGGATTCTAATGGGGAAGCCAAAGATCAAGTTGGAACACCTCCTTTTGATGTTGTTGATCAAGCATAATGTTGTCACACTAACTTGTGTTAGTTGACTTATTGATTTGAATTGATTATCCCATACTTAGGTTGATAGTTTCAAACTAATGAATTTCGTAAATCTCATTGACTTAACTTGTTTTTAGCATTTTTAAGTAGACTTTAATTGTAACTTCTTTTCTCCTTTATGATCTTGAGTTTTGAACTATTGTCTTATTGTGATTCGTTGCTTATATAATAATTATATATAATAATTTAGTTCTTATATCATTTTCCTATCAATTGTAGTTCCCTTTATTTATTTCCAAGTAGTTTGTAATAATCTCGTTTATAATCATCTCAATCAATTCCATGGTGTACATTACCAACACACTCAATCTTCAAATATACATAGAATCATTATCTTATAGTAAATTACCAAAATGGTCCATCGACTAAAGCGAAAGTACCAAATTGGTCCTCTTCTTTTTTCTTTTTTCTTTTTTTTTTTTTAAATAAAAGATAGCTAAGGTATGAAGCCTAGAAGTCCTTTGTAGGTCAAGCTGCCTACTTCATTTTTTTTTTTTTTCTTTTTTGAAATCAAATATAGCTAAGGTATGAAGCCTGGAAGTCCTTTGTAGGTCAACCTCTGATTTTTAGTAACCATATTTTTCAACCGGTTTTTAGTAAAGTTCTAAACCAATTAAACCGGTTCAAATCAGAAAAATAACAAAAGAAAAATATGAAGAGACAAAAATGCACTTACTAAAAATAGGAAAAGTCATAGAAGTACTAAAAGTGTCCAAAAAATAATAGTTTGGGATGTTAAATGACAAAAACGGTAGTCTGAGACTAAATTTGAAATTGCCACAAAAAATAAGGGACTTCTGGTGGAATTAACTCTAATTATAATTTAGTGGTGTTGTAATAAGACTACAATGTTTGTAAAATAAAATTTAATAGTAGGTCTCACTGTAATAAAACTATTGTATGTATAATATCAAATGAAACTGTAGTTGTGCTGATATAAAACTACAATGTATATAAAATGAAACTGAATATGTTATAGAAACAGAACTAATTACGCCGAAACGGGTGCTATTTCTCTTCGTTAAAAGAAATGACACCATTTTAGACCATGATTCATACTAAAATTTGCTAGAGCCATGACCCCATCAATTATTATTATATTATACAAAATCAATAAAAGTAACCAAAAAAAAAAGTATCACGATTCAATCTATTTAATTAATTAACCGGAGGGGGGAGACTGGGGGAGTGGGGTTCACTCACATTTCAGCTAACCTACATTGACTGATCCAGTGATTGGTTTACAATCTGGAAAAAAAAAAAAAAAAAAAAAAAACCAACAGTCCAACACCATATTTCAACTATTGATTGGAAGATGGACAAGACATTGGCTTTTCTTTGAGGTAGCAAATTAAGTAAGATTATTCATCATGATTTCAATTCATCAAAAGTCACTAACAACCATGAAAGTTGTAAATAAACATAAAATTATCACAATTATTTTCAATTAATTAAGGGGATTAAGACAGCACATGATATATACTTAATCACACTTTAATTGGTAGATTCTTCAATTCCTGCTAGCAACGATACAATTTCCTTGTTCTTGTTTGCAGCTTCAAGGTAAGAATTGAATTTACATAGATGCAAATCTTTCTTCTTCTACATTCTCAAAAAAAAAAAAAAAACTTTCTTCTTCTACCAAATAAGGTATCTGCATCAAATCCCAACGACAAAAGGTTCAAGTGTTTTCATCCTATTCTAAACAATTACAGTTTTTAAACATTGCAAAAAACAATGGCCCTATTTGGTAAAAAATTGGCCTATAGGCCAATTTTGGCCTATTTGACCACTATTAATTGTTTGATTTAGTTAAAATATCAATATAAATGTTTGGTTAATTAGCTTTTTGCAACTTCAAAAGGCTAAAATTCAAAAAGCTACTCCAAGCAACTTTTTCAATTAGCTTTTTGAAAAAAGAAATTATACCAAACAGCTATCAGCTAACAGCTAATTTACCAAACACTTTTCTACAATCAGCTAATGTTATCAACTATTTATACCCTCTAATTAACACAATCAGCTAACAGCTAACAGCCATTTTACCAAACAGGGCCAATGTCTATTTCTTAAAAGCATAGCAATGTCTATTCTATGCCTTCATTTGCAACAGTTTTATCTCCTAAAAGACAACGAATCAATAATAAGTCTTTGCTTTTTGGTGACATTTAAACTACAAAAACCAGTAAAAATGACTCTAGTAAAAGGTGTACAGTACTGTATTTCTTAGCAGAATAAAGTTTCATGGGAAAGAAAAGGGCACCTACAATTCCTTCAATTCCTCATCTACAAGACTAGAATAATGCTACACCTGCAAACAAAACATTAATGAAATTTCGTTTGCAAAAAAAAAAAAACATTAATGAAATTTCTGCAAAGAAAATTGGGTATTATATTGGACCACCCCATAATACCAAAATCTGAAAAGCTGCAGAAAAGATAGAGTTTTTTTTTTTTTTTTTTTTTTTGGTCAATTTTGGTACATTGCATTTTCAGCTTTTGGCAGTTTCACCCCATTTGCAAAAGAAAAATGCTACATTTACTCCTATTTTGTACTTTCACACACAAAATTTTTGATATAGACACTTGTATTAGGATTCACATGAAAAAATTAATTTATAAGAATTCGTCACATTAGAGAGTACAATTTAAGGAGTAGGATTAAGGAGTAGATGTAGTAGAACCATTTGCAAAAAGAAAATAGTACTTGGACTCTCTAATTTTACTTTCAATTTTCACTCTCTCACTTTTGATGTTGATATTTTCTTTGGGATATACAGAAGATAACTTATTAATGGTTGCCCGTCAAGGAATAAAAAGTAATGGAGTAGAAATTGAGAGTCTATAACCTGGAGGGTGTGGTTGAGTGGAAGGGACTCATCCATTCTTAACCAAAGGTCAATGGTTTGATTCTTAGCTTTGAGAATGGAACAACCTTAAATCTCCAGGCCAGTTGTCCCATCCAAAAGAGGTGCCTACAATTCAACAAGGGGATTAATCACTGTGTGACAGTGAAAACCATGGGTATACTCAAAAGAAAAAAAAAATAAAAAAAAATTAGAGTCTATGTAGTAAAACTTTTTGCAAAAGTTGCTAATTGGCATCCCATTTTATACAAACTAGGTGAACATTTATGATTTTTTCCCTCTATTACTAATCACAAATTGGGCAAAGTGGTAAAGAATGAGAGCAAAAAAACACCCATCTTTTGTCCTCAATCTTTTCACTTAGACCATTTTTCCCTCCCTACTTCATTAGCATTTACAGAAGTTAATAATTGGATTAACG